TTTCATGAGGTGGTACATATTCTGCATTCAAAGAGACAGCAGCGTGTACACAGTCCATGAAGACATTCCCAGGAACGGGAGGAATGGAGATAAATTCTGCAGAGTGGGCTAGACGGGCGGCATTCTTGGTAGGGCGAAAAATGGTAATGGAGGAGTCTCCGGGAGTGCGGAAAGCTTTCATGCCTTCGTATGCTTGTTGGCCATAATTGAGAGCGGGGGACATGCCATGAAGACGGAGGTAGGGATCGGTAATGAACTTTGGAGGTGTCCATTGGCCGGTTTTAACTGAGTAGTGGGATTCGATATGACCATTAACTGAAGGAAGAATTAGCGTTTTGTGGACGAAACTTCTGACAGCAGTCAATTGAGTAACAACAGGAAAGCTAGGAGAGAGAAATTGATATTACCTTCACGGAATTTGAAGCCAATATCACTCCAGTCGATTGTGCTAACAGGGGGTGGGGGGAAAGCCATATTGATTTGCAAAGAAAGATATGATAAGAATTGCTTCGAAAGTCAGGATATCCAATTATTTAGAGATAGCAAAGCAAGTATTTAAGATCGTGGAGGATTTAAGACTGTTAATAATTAATAAGTCTTTGAATGTTTCCACGGAGATGTAGTAAATACAGCACAGTCAGCTAGCACAAAAAATATTTCATGTTTCCGAGCTCGGAGAACGCGGGGCAGAAATGACGGAAGGGGAGGAATGATGCTCCGAAGTGTACGATGTACCTGGGATGGAGAAAAGGAAATGTTACAGCTTTACTCGTAAAGCCAATTAAAATACGATTTTGAATGGATATGAAACAATCAAATGGAACGAATAATAAGAGTCTTGGAATTAATTTATTCGAGGGACGGTGATTGCTAAAATAAGGAATTATCACGCTACACATGTACCTAAGTAGGTAGGTAGTTTGGATGAATTTATCGAATGTTCGGAATTAGTTTCCTTCTCACTCATTTTCTCAACTAATAAACTTTAATATTCATTGCTTTGAATTAATGCTTCTCTTTTTCCTTTGTTGCTGACATCTCAAACAACGCTACGAAGCATTCATCGAAACATTCGGAGCCGAGTTCAATTCCAGAAGTTGGCCCTTCTTCTGCACCGTTAGCCAGTCACATCACGATCATCAGTACGAATAATAATTCCCTTCCGGTCACAATACAGCATGGCTCGAAAGCCGCACTTTACTCTTGCAGGAATAGCTCTAGCAGGTTTCCTATGCATCTTCTTCGTGCTCACATTTCGCAACCAAAATCATGGAACGAGAGCTGTAGATTATGGCACAGATAACGATTATAACGTTGAATTCCCTCTGGATAAAACACCAATTCTCGTCGATGACAATCTTCTTCATGGAGCAGCCACTGCCCCTAAGCTGGAAAATGCTACTTTAAAGTATGTCACCTATCTGCACCATGCGGTTGGAATGATTTTATCTTTGTACTTATTAATATGCTCGCCTTTTAGAGCGGAACTCGGCCACGCAGCCTGGAAAGTTCTACACACGATGATGGCCAAATTTCCCGATAAGCCTACAGAAGAAGACAGCTCCGCTTTAAAATCCTACATCCATTTATTTGCGCGCCTCTATCCATGTGGCGACTGTGCGCGACATTTCCAAGGGCTATTGAAGAAATATCCACCTCAGGTGGCAACGAGGAGCACGGCAGCAGCGTGGGCATGTCATGTTCATAACGAAGTCAACAAGCGTTTGAAGAAGGAGATATTCGACTGCAGTAAGATTGGAGACTTCTACGACTGTGGATGTGCCGAGGATGGCGAGCCGGGGAAAGCTGGCGAGGCAAAGACACAGGTTAAGAAGGGGGAGGGAGAGGGTTTCACGCCATTAGAACTGGATAAGGAAGGGTAGGGCTTCCTTTGAGCTTAGGCGTCTTATTAAGGAGATGATATGATGCTAATACAAAGGGTGTAGGTTGACTCGGGGAGGTTAAAGCATTTGGCATTAAGCATTGATTGAGGAAAGGAACTGCTCGTCTGGCACATAGCAAGTTTATCTGATTCTAATTCGCAAGAACAAGAAAGAGCTTGCCTCAGGTCTCTCATAACTATGAGGTTACAAGACCATGTATAATTAGGAATCAAGGTCAGGAACTTATCGAAAGAGGGCGTTGATTAGATTTTGGAGTATTGGTGGTATTGTTATCTGAATTGGAATAGGCGGGGGATGTTTCAATATGCTACGCCTGGCATCCATTTGTATAAATTGTAAATAGCATTTAGTTCGTAAATATTTATTTCTTCACTCGAAACTTTCACTGCTAGGTATGTATTCAAGAAGACTAGGTGCACGCTAGCTCTCAACTTATAAAGCCTAAGAAACCTCACCGGGAGCAGCCATAAGAAACGGGAATAACCGCCCAAGCTCAAAGCATTATCACCACGTGATCTACCTCACCTTCGCGCTTGCTTGCCTTGCCTCGCGTCTAAGGTCTGCCTGTTCGAGAGCTTCAAACTGGTAGCTCATCTTCCACCCCAACGAACATAACGATTGACGATTCGCATTTGTTTTTTTTTCTACATATCCCAAATTTAAGAAGCCCAATATTAAAACTTTCAAGATGGAGTTTGGAAACACAGGAATGTTGAATGAAGGTATTTGGGTATCCAACTCAGCTACCAGTGATGTTAAAGCTAACGGGAGCTTCTTGAAGATGGTATTCATGTGGATATGGACCGTTTGAAGAAGGGAGAAGTCAAGTAAGATACCTCCGTAGCCTGGCCCTACATTTTGAGCTTTACTGATTGATATGATAGCTTAGGAACCTCCATGTAAGAAGCCTAGAGACCACGATAACCATTATTTTTGGTTCGAGGTCAGCGTTGACAATAATTTTAGTATGGCCATAAACTTTAAGGATGGTGTCATTCTGGGTCAGTTCTTTTGGGTCACAATCTGCGGGGTATAAGAGTTACTGATGGATTTACTGGACAGGTGCGGACAGTAGAACAACGACCGGCTCATATATCGCAAATCGAGTTACAGACAAGCTCACCCAAGTACATGATACAATCTGGTGTTGTCGATCAGGTTCTGCGGCTGATACTCAAGCCGTTGCGGATATTGTTCATTATCAGTTGGGAATGTATGGGGTTTTGAATGGCAAAACACCAACCACACAAACGGCTGCTGCTATGTTCCAGGAACTTTGCTACGATAACAAGGATCAATTGAGGTATGAATGATGTTCAACTCCGCGCGTTTCTTGTTCTAATTCGAATTTAGTGCTGGTTTGATTATTGCTGGTTGGGATGAGCGACACGGAGGTCAAGTCTACTCAATACCATTAGGAGGATCGTTACACAAGCAATCTTATGCTATTGGAGGTTCCGGCTCAACATATATCTACGGATACTGTGATGCAAACTGGAAGGAAGGTATGGAGGAGGCTGATGCTGTCGACTTTGTTAAGGGCGCATTGCAAGAAGCCATCAAATGGGATGGGAGTTCCGGAGGTGTCATTAGAATGGTGGTTTTGACGGCAAAGGGAGCAAACAGGCATCTTTACTTGCCAGACACGAATTATACCGTCCGTCATCAATAGATGATGAATCAATGTACGAATAGAACCAGACCATAATACCACGGAGTTTACGCAATTGGTTAATTTGCAAGGTTTCATAACGGCCAATCCAGGGAAATTTGCCTTTTAACTGAAGCGGTGAGATTAAGAATAGGAAGCTTTTTAAGTGTGGCTTTCATTCCGAATTTTAATCGCATCACATTTCTTGGAGGAGTCTGATTTGATACTTTTGAGTGCTACGACATGTGTGATTGTTATAGGTTACGGGGCACTTTTAAATGAAGATTCAGTAGGGTTTCCTTTATGCTTCTGATGACATGAAATTAAGGGTATCTCGGTGTGTTGAGTTGTGGATGGGTATGGTATACGTATGGTTTGGTTACTCTTGATATGAATTTGAAGGGGATACAAGCGTTAATTCCAATGACTCCTTTGAGATTTCAAGTGCGATACCGGTGTAGGATTATAATACCAGAGTAAATGTACGAGTATAGGTGCGTATCTATATAGGTACACATCTACATGGATACCTAATAAGTACGAGGAATTTGAAAGCGAAAAGTAATTGGGGTAGACGGAAGATAATAAGATAGAGTCTATCTAATAGAAGTGACTCCTGACAAAAGATGTATCAAGTTGAGTATGTAGGCATGAACTCTTCCTAGGGCCGGGGAGATATTTGTATATGGAATATAAATGGAATTTAATATGATAGATCTGCTGTACTGGATATCAGGTATCTTGTCGATGGATTATGGAGATCTATTTAGTTCTACCTACCTGCGTTTGCCTTTTCTTTTAGTGGCTTATTACTTTGTGTTTGAGTTGTTAACTACTACCTACCTAGATCGATTCCCGAGAGATTGCTGGATGAAGGAGCTGGCTAGTACTTTGATGATAATTATTATAGTGTAGATGATCGATATAGACACTAGTAGTAACCTTAGGTAGAGATTGATTCATTCAGACTACTAACTCGTACCTACTAGGTGATTGTATCATCTATCAAGTTGTTAGGTATCATTCATCCTCCATCATCCCACACTCTTCCTTCTCTTTCTTTTCTTCACCTTCCTTTCTTCAACATCCATCTATTTACTTGTTACTCGTTTACGATGTATGTATTTATGAGATATGAATCCCCAGTATCTTTCTTTGAATGATGACTACCTGAGGCAATACTCCATCTTCCCTCTACCTCGTAAATTCAGGGTTCTCACAGATGTCCAACTTTTCGTCATAGGTAACTTATTGGAACTTCTTTACTAGGGAACTGAACTGCAGTCGGCCAGTGTTCGGCCAGTGGTAGTGAATCGATTGTACCACACCCAGCGCCCCTCTCCACATCTTCTTTCAACCCGACAGCCCAGCCGCCCCAGTCAGTACATATAGTATATAGTACGAAGTACATACCTGCATACCTGCATACCCAGTATCTTCTACCCAGTCAGTACCCATCAATCAACCACCCTCTCCCGTACAAATCTCTTTTCCATAATTCACGTCCCTCAAATAATAATTATAATAATAATAAAAATCCCCCATCAACTTATCAACTGATTTAATCCTCTCTCTCGCCCTCTCGCCCTCTCTCCATCTACACTTACTTGTCACTTTACTCAACTTCTCTTAATACAACCATTCAAATATCCACATTTTTCTTTCGCGTTGGAGAACATTGTCCTCTTTTCTCCAATAATCGTTGTCTTGTTTTCATAAGGAATGCTGCAGGTAAGTCTTTTCTTAATCCTCTTTATACCTGCGCCTATATGGTGCATGCCCATTCAAGTCATCAATCAGTGCCCAGTGTGTTGTGTGTGTGCGTGTGTGTGTATGTGTGTGTGTGTGTATCCGTTTGTTTTGTTATATTGGAAGCTCTTGTTACCCCCACGAAAGATTGATAAAATGGCGATGAGTTTGTGGTCGCAATCTCACAATTCATAAACAATCTTCGAGACATGGAAGTTTGCATCAGAATATAGTCGGCAGAGGTTCAGAGAGTCAGGAAGGATTGTTTGGATGTTGGCTTGTTCATTTACCTTTTCATTCGGTACCTACTAGGTAGTTAAAGACCGATCGATAGGCAAAAGTACCTTCACGATAAGACTTTCTGAACCTTCTGGCCATCCTAGCCACCCTACATCAACAGCAAGGACTCAGTCGGCGCTCACGTCTTTGCAAAGAAGACGTTTTACTCATTATTATATTCTCTCTTGTCTCAACATTGTTCCAGCCATCGCAGATTTGGGAGAGAACAAAAAAGCTAATCGCAACGACTGATCAGGTTTTCACGACCATTACATTCACTTGATATGGCTGCGGTGATTGATTTTGTGTCAGATTCATCACGCTTCCACCCTCATACAATGATACCCGCTGCAGGGCATCATGGTTCTTCAGAGGATTCACCATATCGACAACCTTCCCGGTCGAGAGTCGAGCCTCCACCAAGTCCGAACCCCCACCCCACATCAGTAGTCGATGGTACCCCTCCTCCAAGCGCAAATATGCAAGCCAGATATGGTGACTCTCATGATGTAGACCACCGCACAAGAGTTAAACCTGAGCCCCATATCAAGTCCGAACCTTTCTCTCCTCCTTCGAGTTCCAGTCCACGCTCAAACTCAAATTCACATACACAACAATTTACGAGTCAACAAAATTTCCCCCCATCTTCAGCGCCTCATGCACGAGCCGAGCATTCGCATACCTTGAGCACCGATTCTCCTTCGAGGCCTCGAATGACTTCTGGGACATCTGAGCGGACGATCCCAAGATCAGCAAAGTCTCTCGACGATGTACAGAGTTATGGTGGTAACACGATCAAAGTTAGAGATTTGGCACATATCGAAAGTTTCGCCAGCCCAGAATTCCTCTCATCTAGAGGCCAAATTGGAGGTTCACGCACAGCAGACGAGCCTGGATTAAAATACGAGATCAGTGGTATGCCCATTACAGATATTATTGAAATGGTAGCCGGACTTTTGACCAAAATCACCACCACAAACGATCGTCAACATGAAACTCTACAAAGGTCCATTCCATCTGCCGAAAATACAGCCAATCTTACTGGACTCTCCTCGAGCGTACTCGCATTTCACGGAAAGAATGTGCCTAGCATTACCATTTTGAGTTATTTAACTAGAATACACAAATACTGCCCAACAACATACGAGGTGTTCTTGAGTTTGTTAGTCTACTTTGATAGAATGACGGAGAGAGTTAATGCGGAACCCATAAATGCCATGCGACAAGAAGCCATGGATCTAGATGGTTCTCGACCTTCGTCTACTTATTCTGCAGAGGGTTCTGATTTGGCGGATACCCCACCAGGAGCTAGAAGTGTTCCTGAGCTCAAATCCGAGTTTGAAAATGCTCAATACTCTCATTCACAGGACCCTGAGCCTGGATTGGCTCAGTTCCCTCTCTCTCATTTCTTTGTAGTTGACAGTTTTAACATTCATCGTTTGGTCATTGCTGGTGTTACTTGTGCCAGCAAATTCTTCTCTGATGTTTTTTACACAAACTCTAGATACGCCAAGGTAAATTTTACCATGAATTACGTCCTTCCTGATGCTAACGTTTGTCTAGGTTGGTGGATTACCGTTGAATGAATTGAACCACTTGGAGCTTCAGTTTCTATTGTTAAACGACTTTCGATTATCTGTTCCCGTTGAAGTATTAGAGGCTTATGGCACGATGCTTGTGGATTTTTATGCTCGAGAGATTGTTGATCAAAAACGAGCAAGCGGTATGACAGATATGGCATATAAACAAGAAACAGCATCTTGAGATGACAACGGTACTCATGTTTTCGAATGTAAGAAAACCACGAAATATTTCTTCTTCCTATGTCCATGATTGTCTGTGAGTACAACAGATGTTGGTTATGTTAAGACAAATGGATGATAACGGCGCTCAATAATGATGATGATCATGATTTTTCAGCGAGATAGACTTTCTTCCACTTTTGTATGCGAGGTCAACGGCTTCTCTCCTTTCTATACCTCGTATTTGAGACGGATATGGTTTTGGAGCAATCGATCATAAAAGATACCCTTCTTCTTTTACTCTCTCTTAATAACACTTCGCAAAGACTATAAGATCTTGAGTTGGTTCTATCAAGTAGCAAATGCTTTCTCTTTTTTTGATAGCCTGATTTTCTTGCGGGTGCAGTCACTCTAGGATGACATGGGATGATGTTAGATTTTACATGTTTCTTTCTTTTCCATTTAGGAGGACTTCATTATAGACGGAAAGACACAAATGTGCAGCAGATGTATGGTTGAGTAGTATTATATCAATGCACTCTCTTGAGAGACGGAGAAAGATGGCCAGAGGAGCATAGCTGATTTGGATTGGAGTTGATAACTATCAAGTGTGGCTTTGGTTGCTGGAAGATGGGGCAGATGGATTTCAAGATTTGAAGGGATGGAACAGGAAAGCAGAACAGAACGGGGTAGAGCAGAAGCTATGATATGAGTTATGACGATTACACACGTTGGAGATGGATGGTGAATGGATGGATGGATGGTTGGGGATATGAAATTGGGGGGACATGAAATTATAGATGGAAGTAAGAAAGGATGGATGGATGGATGGCGTTGGTGGAGTAATTAGTCGGCGATTAGCGCTTTATTTGTGTGTGTGTCTCTTTCTTATACTTTTTTTTATTAGGTAGCTTTTTCTTTTTCTTTTTTGTTTTCTCTTTTCTTTTCTCCTTTTCTTCTTCTTTAGGTGTGTAGGGTAAGGGGTATGTAGTTTGAAGAGTGAGGTGATGTGGTGTGGTGTGGTGAGAATTGAATGGATTGATTGATTTGATCAATTTGATTTGGATTGGATTGAATGTGTTTGTGATGTATGATATGTGATGTGTGTAGAGTATCATGTGTAGTGTATGCAAATTGTGTTTGATATTGATGTTTATATTAATGTTTATATTAATGTTTATATTGATATCGAATCAATATTTCTCGGCACGGCTACATGGAATGAGTGGTTGCTTGATATATTGAGATGTGTTGTGCGAGTAGATTAGAGGAATTTTTTGAAGAGAGTAGGGAAGATGGGGAATAGAGGGATGAGGGAGGGAAGATGGGAAGAATGGGGAGAAATTAAGGGAGGTCTGAGGGAAATGAAGGAGGGGAGTGGGGGGGGGGGAGGGGGAGGAGGGTGGAGGAGGGAGGGAGGGAAATTTAGTATATATTTGCTACTTATTGTTTGTGTGGTTATGTGTGTATGTGTATGTGTATATAGTTGGTTATGATTTATGACTATGATTATGATTATGAAAAATAAAGGAGGTGTGAGGCTGAGGTGTGGAGTTGTGGAATTGGAATTGGAATTGGATCTGAACGGAGAAGGGCGGAGCTTAGATTGATGGGTTGGTATAGATGTAGATGTAGATGGGGAAGGATGAATTGGCGGAGAGATAGAAAGGTGTATATGTAGGTGTGGGTATAGGTAGGTGTGTAGGCTTACATGGAATTTGAATGGGTGGTGAGGGGAGGGTGTTGAGGGTGGATGTAGATAAGATGTAGATGTAGATATATGGCTATTAGCTTTATAATCTCAATACCTCATCTAACTATTGAGTATGTGTATGTGTATGTATGTACATATGTGTTTAGAATAGATTTGAAAGGTGAGTAAGAGAGATGAATGAATCAATGAGTTATATATGTATATACACCGACGAGAAAGGAAGTAAATAAGAGAAAGAATAACATATATAAACACCATCATCAACCCAGGCTGTAGCGCACAGATTTCCCCAAACTTCAAACCCATCCGATTGGGTATTCTCACGGTATTCTCATGGTATCCTTAGATCTCGGTAGGAATATCATATCTCCAATCTCCAATCTCCAATCCCTCAACCAACCCACCTTCCAAAAGAATTAAAGAAAAAAAATAATTCAATAATACGCAAACCGAATTGGCGGATCAACAAATCCATAGCCTCGATAAGTTTTGATCATGGTGAGAGAGATGATGTCGGCATTGTGCCAGTCTATTGTGGGGGGTTAGTTAGTTTGGGGTTGAGATTGAGGGGAGAGGAGGATGATGAGTTAGATTGAAGGTATAGGGAGGGGGGTAGAGGTAGAAAAGAGAAAATTGTGAAAAGGGGAGGGAGGAGAAATGGGGAGATGAAATATACACACCCTCTGTTTACCCAAATACTCAAAAAAAAAAAAAAAAAACTAAGAAGAAAAAAAACTCACAATCCCCCGTCAACCCATGCAAAAACTCTCCATGCGAAATAACCAAAATCTCCACATCCCCCTCCTTCTTCTCCAACCTCTCCCTCCCCAACTCCCACAACCTCTCTAAAACCCTCACACTCCTCTCCCTCTGCTCCCTACTCCTCCTCCATCTCCCTCCCACATACCCCCCATCCCTCTCCCTATTCCTCTCCCACCCCTCATTCACCCTCTCAAAATCAATCTCAAACCCCATCTTCACACCCTCATGCTTCCTCTTCAGTTCCCCTATCGGCGTCCCCGTACAATTGGGCACGGAGCCGTATTCGCGCAGCTCGGGGTCGACGGTAATGGGGATGCGGGTGCGGGGGAGAGAGAGCAGCGCGGTTTGCAGAGTGCGTCGGAGAGGGGAACAGAGGATGTGCTGGGGTTTGAGACGGGAAAATTGCGTGCGCAGAGTGAGACATTGGGATTTGCCGTGGGGGGTGAGGAGGGGATCGGTGAGGTTCCCTGCACCGGGCGTGCGTAGGTTGTTGTAACCCTGGGTGTTGTTAGGGTTGGATAGGGAGATGGGGAGGGGAGATACATACTTCGGCGTGACGAACGAAATGTATGATTATTCTTCCAGGACGGGGTTTTGGTTTTGATTTGGATTTAGGTTTAGGCGGAGAAGGCGGAGGAGGAGCCGTTTTCTTCGGAGCAGGTTGATGTTTCGAGTTAACACCACCCCGTTGAGATGTCGGGGGAGGAGATGATTTTCGCGACCAGAAACCCATGATTTGTTCTTTTCAATTCAACTTCTTGCCTTTGCTTAAAAGTTAGGAGCTGATAGATAAAATTAAGGATTGATGATGTCAAAAATCGAAGCGATATAAGCCTTGAAAGTGCAACTTCCAAATCCCCGTGTACGATTCGGAGGAAGAAGTTAGAGCTAGAGCTAGAGCTAGAGCTAGATTCTTGAGCTTTAGTTCGTATATAGCATGCTTAAATCTATCTATAGATATACAATGAATGAAGATATAAATACAACACAAGATATCCCCACAGGAGAAGAATTCGGAAGAACTCATGGAGTCATCCCCGCAGAGAAAGCCAGCCACACAAAACGAAAGGCGATAGATACTACCAGGTACTCCGTAACGAGTGGCTAGCTAGCCATATAGGTAAGTAATACCAAGGAGATAGACAGATTTCTGCCCAACGAGTTAGCCACTTGTATAGCAGACTAGGGGTTGGAAATTCCCGAAGTGTATGAGTAGTAGGTGATGATCCATCATGGGTTAGGATGCTAGGACTAATTTTCCTGTGGTTATGGATACACGTGAAGAGAAGAGTATTTATTTTTTTAGGAAGTTTTGGGAGGAAGGATTGGGAGAGCGGGGGGGAAGTGGCCACGGAGGCGTGCGTGTGGTGAGCGATGGATGGGATGGGTCTTGAGATGGGTCGGAGGGAAAATTGAAAATTGAGAAGGGAAGACAAACTATTTTCTACTTGATTGATTAATCATGTGGAAAACTTGCAGATACTGCTTCTTCTTGATATGTGAGATGCATTCTAGATATCTGATCAAATCTAATCTAGATCCTCTAACGAAAATCATCCCCGAAGAATCCACAATCTCTCTCATCCGCACACGAGGATCAACCCGAACTTTCTCACCAGTTTTCACCGGGTACCAATCGCTCGGTCTTCAAAACGGCCATTTGACTCACTAATTATAGAGACAATGAACGACGAAACTATCAGCCAAATGCGGAGAGCCTTCCAGCTACCCAGCTCTTCTCCAGGGGATATACGAATCAACCATGAGTATGTGGATCCCTCGCCGCCGCCATTATCATTTAAATCTCATAGGAATATCATTCCAGGATTAATGACTACAATTATGGCAATTAAAATACTAAATGAATGGATGGCGACTTGATAATTGGTCACCACGAAATGAAAAAGTGGGAGAAAAGTCAGGGGCCAGTACAGGGAGGCGCTGTCCCGTAAGTTACTGCACTGTGACTTTGTTCCATTTCTCAGATATATTTTGGCGACTGGGATTTCTAGAAGATTTTATGGAAAAGGAGCTCCTGGCTTTGAATGAGATTGTGAGAAGTGTACAACTAATAAGATGATGAAGCGGAATTTTGTTGCATATCATAAAACCAACGAGATTTCTCCACCACTGTCATCTAAGACCAGAAGCTAATTGAAAGTGTAAATCGCCTCCTCAAGAACATCCAATAAATAACGTTCGAAGATTTTCTTACAAATCTGAAAAATGGTAAAGTTTGTCTAACACTGTATACTGGAGCTAAATGGTAGAGGGATGGTAACTGTCAACTCTTTTCGGCCGCTTAGAACTTTCCAGCGTCAGACTGACTTGTCTGCAACGAATCACGTAACCTCGTTTGAAGAAAGCAGTAGAATAGAATATACCACCTTTGTACACTCGTTACTGTGACCAAAAATTGTAATCATGGAGGTATATCTTATTTGAAGCGGGTAACCCAGGTAACTCAGCAAAGTTATAAAATAGCACAAGCCAAAGTATTCACCAAATCCAATAGTCAAAATAATTAAGAAACTCAGATCAAGGGCGTAAAATGCATCATTAGAGTATCATATGCTGTGATCAAGCTCAAAACCTCTTGAGCCATGTAAAATGTGAAGGCAGGTGTTGATACAGAGGGGTTCTCACACATATACTTCTTCGACTATTCCTCCATCTTATCTCCTTCAGCCGCTGTCTCAGCTGGTTTCTCTTCTTCTTCATCATCATCACCCTCCAAAGCCTTCTTCGCTAATTTCTCTGCTTCCTCAAGGATATCCTTGGGTACTTCCTCATGTCTTCCCTTTGTTGGCCCATCAAGGTTGCTAATCCAAGTCATCTCAAGCTCAAATTCCTTATCTTTATTGTCATCATGCGCAACATAGATAATTCGTGCAGCCTCCTTAACACCATCTAATAAACTCAGATTGCCAGCTGCAAGATCCAACTTTTCCAATTCGGCCTTTGCGACTTGACGTCCTTTACCGGTAGCAGCTCCATAGTAACCCCAGTATAACCCACTTGGTTCAATCATGTAAAGACCAGGTCCACCATATTTCTTGCCCTCAACCTTTCCTCCAGAACCAATGACTGGTCCACTTCCTACTTGTCCATCAACTGGTAATTCTTGTTCAGAATCATAACCTGCGACGATTGCAGTTATACCGAATGGTCGTACGGATGAATAGAGAGTATATGCTTGAAGATAACCACCCATTCGACTAGCCAAATCTGCGGTTGTAATTGGAGTTTTGTAAACGTTACGCCAGCTTGCAGCTTCATCGCGGGCACGGGAAACAAAATGTCTACCATCTGGTACTAATCCTGAAGATACCTATGAAAGGATCATTAGCCATTTTATCACTTCAAAATGACCATCCAAGTAGCAGGATTGTACATACAGCACCCATATGTCTATCGATTGTCGCAATACGTTTGTTGGCTCCAGCCTTTAGGAGCTTGCTGGTAATGACCTTCTCAACTGCAAGCACAACACCATCTTTACATTTGATTCCAACCGAAGTTCCACCATTTTCAACTGCCTTTACTGCATATTCGACTTGAAAGTTTCGACCATCAGGGGAAAAGACGGAATTCGAAAGATCATAACCTGTACCTATCGAAGTCTAATATAGGGCAGGAAGTTAGCTTCAGAAGCTCATTTATGTGATCCAAACTGCCAATTTGGATAAATTAAAGCTTACCATGGTTTCAAGATTTTGATGGAAGATATTCGGGAGCTTTAGAGACAAATAATTGAGACGGGGTGGTGAAATTTGAGGGAGATTTGTTAATGAAGCTCTGTAGATTCCGTATATTTAGAGCTCCAGGCCACCACGAAACGCGTTTAGGTTGGAGGGCGGCTCTTAGCGTCATCTTTGGAATTGAAGCCTTAATAGTGAGGTGTCAAGTAAGGTATCAAGATATTTATAAGATTGGAGATGAATCACATGATGATAAGAATAACGATCAGAAAATTGGATCGGATAAGGTCAAGTGGCGGGCGATAAAGAAAAAGTTAAGAAAGAAGTCAAGAAGTCAAAGGGTCATGAACCCCTGACAGAAAATGACACTCAATAGGAATAGGTGAAGGTAACACCCAATGACAATAAACAATAATGACATGGGGGGCTTTGAGGGAGAGAGGGGGTCACGGGAAAAGAGAAGAGAAGAGAAGAGATTGAGATGAGAAGAGAAGAGAGGAGAAGTCTCATGTAACGCAGACACATGGCAGGTCACTTGGTTTTCATTCATCACTTTTTTGGCCTTGAAATTGCTATGCTTCCATTTTACGTCCATCTTATGTCTGCGTGTGATGAAGGGAAAAGGAAAGAGATTTCTCAAAGTTTATATGAATGATAGCTACCTAGGTATTTGTACGGAGTACTTGTGACATTGGATTAGATCTGGTGACGCTCCGCTGGGCCACTGCCGTGGGGGCTTTTTCGCTTCGCTCCAGTCCCTCCGTATAGGTACGGTTAGATGTTTCTTGATACCTACCCAGTACAGAGGGCACTCAAATGAAATACTAGGTAGTCGTCAGATAAATGAATGAATGTGAATATTATGAATCAGGAGATATAGATTCAAACCCATAGAGCGTAGCGAAGAAGCCTCCACGGCAGTGGCCTAGCGGAGCGTCTTTGATTTCATAGTAGGTAGGTTTACTCAACTCAAATCAAGGGAGACATAGGAGATACTTTGCCTAGGTAGACAATCTTCCCCTAGATCAAATACCCAGGTGTAAATACCCTTCATACATTCCCAGCCTCTAACTAATTTATTGGTACCTAATGATCTACAAACAGTTGTTCATCTCTTTCTTTATGTGCACACTGCATCGTAAAGCATGGAGATCTGAAATGAAAGAATAACTCGTGTCATGGAACAATTGGCAGATAAAGCAATGAACAGAGTGACGCTAACAGCCCAATACGTTTTTGACAATCGAAAAGTAACCAACCACCTTGGATCCTTTTAATCGGAATTTAAGGATATTATTATCATCTTTTATGATTTAACAAAGAGGGGTGAACCATTCACATATCGACCCAGCACGTGCTTATCTCTCTTTGACACGAGACATACATTGGGATTAGTACGGAGCACACATTGATGAGGGGAATGTAAATCAATATCCATATCCATATCATGTCTATATCTATATCTATATCTATATATCTATCTTCCTTCCTTCCTGCACCTCATCCCTTCCATCCTTCCTTCCACTTTCTATAAACTCCCATAACCCTCTTCAATTTACAATCTACAATTTACAATATTGTATTGTCTTGCGATTAATAAATGTTGGGAAAAGAATTACAATCACATACGAGATTATAAGACACTTGAAACATTCAAATTCATCCCAACTTCCGTGGCTTATTATATTGGGTACCGCTACTCTCCAGCTGCTGAACCATTCCAAATAAGCTCATTTTAGCATTCATTACCTACCATTACCTATCAAGAGGTCACCCATCTTTCTTCCTTTCCCTTCCCGTCATCACCGCCACCACTTCTATTCAATCAATCTCAGGATTCCCTTCCCTTAACTCCTCTCGAGAGTAATTCTATTCTCCCCTTTACTCCAGTACATACATAGCATAGTCAATAATAACAAGCAAAAATCATTTTGCATTTGTCCACAAAGTCTGCTGCTCCATTCTCTTGCATACATACCTGCATGTTCCTCTGACTTTTAGCCTCTACTACAAATCAGATCAACCTTCGATTTCAACCTTCGATTCGAACATACATTCTGCTTTCTCAGAAAGATCCCGCAGCAGTCAAATTGGTTTGCAGGATTTCTCTTGCACATTATCAAATCGTTTACAATAAAAGGTATGCTGTTGCTATTCCGTCTTCTGCTTTTGCTCCTCCAAATGACTCAACTAACCTATCTGCCATAGTGTCGAATAACTACTTGCACACATATACGTCATGGCTACACAAGAAGAGCTCGCGATGCTTTTCGCTCGTAACCTTTCCCTCCACAACCCTCCTCCTCCTCCTGCCCCTGTAGAAGAGCCAAAGGAAGTTGAACCAACATACACATACTCAATCTCTCAACATTATACCCATTCCGCACATGTTGCTAAGCAAGCATCCAGACCCGCTTCCGAACCACCTCAAACAGATCAACTTACAGTAGATATTATACTTGCCAGACATGGGGTCGATTCTTCTTCTTTATATCCTACCCAAATCGAACTCTTCAAAACCGCAGATGCTACTCAGCAGATGCGATTGATTGAGTTGTGGAGAATCTGCCCGCCATACAATGGAGGACATGCGTTGGCACAAGATCTGTGGACTGGTCCTTCTACTAGCCTTGAGCAGGAAGAGTCCATGGCCAAGTTGAGATATGAACGTCAAATGATGGATGAAAGAATGTCTCGAACACAAGATTCAAGTATGGATGATGATACTATGAGTGATGGTAGTAGCCATGCTCCATTGACACCGATTCAAGGTGGAGATGCCCGTTGGAACCATGTTGAGCATGTTGAACCCTATATGGCATCTGGCTATGAGCTTCTAGCTGCACGAGAATATGAACAATCGACTGGTCGTTCAAAGGATATTTACTCGCACTTTGGATCGGCAGTCGGTGGACCTCAATATAAGCCTTCTACAGACCCAGTCTATAACAATGTTGAAGCCGTTCATGGATACCCAAATGTCGAAGCGATGGAGAACCAGTAAGTATTCCTTTTATCCCAAATTAAAGTGTTGGCACTTCGATCTTTCCCCTCTCCCCTTTTTCTTTAACCCCACCTCAGACGATCCCCACTCCGAGTACAACCCCACCTTTTCAAACTCTTTGCCCACTTTTGAGTAGCTTTTCTGCACACGTGGTTTTGACTAACTCGATCATTGCAGGTATGGAGCATTTCAAAATTACCAGTTTGGCGGATACACAAATGGAGGCGAGGACGAGGAGATGTTGTAAATAAGAATACGTTTTACTCTAGGTAGCTATAGTTAGCACTTCCATAGAGATGATCACATCAGGCATGGGATATGGGGAAAGTTATTATTGTGCGGCGAGACATCACAAGGATTTGTTTTTTTTTTTGTTTTTGGAGGAGTATCTGGAGGGATATTAGGACATTCATGCATAGAGTATATCTGCATTTGCATTCTTTCACAAATTGTGTTTTTGAAGGCTAGTGGTTGGTCAAAGACGATGATATCTTTGCTTTCATGTATTTCTTCTTCTCTTGATTTATTGTTCTATTTGTGTGAGGTACGTACCTTCTGATCGACCTACCCCTCCACCCCCACCCTTTCCCCTTCCCCCCTTCTCCCCCTCTATCCCTCTTTACCCCTCTACAACACTCAGCATTCCATACCTTTTTACTCCAGTTTTACATGGCATTTTCAACTTCAAATCACATCAATATCAACGGCATTCGCTACTACTCAAGGTACGCATCAATACCCATCTCTTCACCTTCCCCGCCCCACCCCCCTTTTCACTAAAATACCTCTTACTACTCACATGAAAGCTTCCACTCCTGGACTGGCAACTACGCTATCAAACTTATTGGATCTGGATCTGGATCCGGACCTGGATTTTCATTTTGTCTTATCCGTGCCCATATTCTTTTCCCGTGGTATACATATTTATTGAGAGGATATATGAAATGGAATATATAATTATTTTATAAAACTTTGATTTTGAGTGTGAGGGTGGTGTGATACGATGTGATGTGATTTCAATGATATGAATAAATGCTCGTCTCTGCTCTATCTCATCTTCTTTCTTCCTCGAGTCTGAATGTAATGTAGTTTAAAGTGCATTCTTTCTCTTCTTGATTTATTCACACTATCACATTATCACGAAATATATCCTTTTCTTCTGTTAACTCCCACTCTCTCCCCTTCTCTCCCCTTCATTTTGGATCTTATGATGCTAATATTATATTTCCCATCTTTTAATATTCTCATCTTCCCACCTTATTGGTTTTCTAGTCTTCTCATCTTCTCTCTCATCTCGTTACCTTCTCATCTCCTCATCCCTCAACACACAGATACATCAGGTACATCAGATACATACCTACAAGCACCATCTTCAACCCAGCTAGCCTGGAACATTTTTTTATTTTAGTTTCCTCTACAGTAGAAGTACTGGCTAGCTAGATATGTACTCCAGAAGAACAAGATGCCAGAGAGACCGGTTGCTTGCAAAAGTATTTACCTTACTCGCGATATACACTCGATTCCTTTATATAGCATCTACCCAGCCCAGACTACCCTGAAATTTACTTCATCATCTCTCCTCACACCTGCCCACCTACCTACCTACCTAGGTAGGTAGGTAGGTAGGTACTTACACATCTTAAACGAGGGAGCAGACACAAGACATCCCCAAAAAGGTAGAGTAGAATTTCTTGGTATTAAGATATCTAAAATCAAAGGCTAAAGGCCAAAAGACCATTTATGTGCTATTGTGTCACATCGTATCTGTGTGTGTACGAATGTATGTATATCTTGATTTCCGCTTACTTTCTCATAAAACATGTACGTATGTGTATGTCTGTCTGCATGTATGTGTTTACTTCTATTCCTCCAATCCAATCCAAAAGGAATGAAATGAAATGAAAACTGCGGAGAAAGAGAAAAGCAGAAAGTAACAACAAAAAACGCCCTCGCTATGCCGCCATATTGAAACCATTCATAAAATCATCTATATCATCGT